AAAAAAAAAAAAAAAAAACCAAATATTTAGCTTTAAGAGGGTTAGGCCTACCCTAAAATTAAGGAACGCTCGACCTCGACACGTGATATCGAAATAGGCGAAATCGCCTCTTGATATCACTAACTCTCCTGACTCCTGACTCCTGATTCGAATATAGCGGTTCCTCATGAATCATGAAAAAAGTCAATGATTTAATCATAATTCAGACACAAAGCAACTGATTAAATATGTTAGTATTGTCTAATTTAAAGTTTTAAAATAATATATCAACCAGCTTTCCAGCCTAAGAAGAGAGCTAGAACCAGTGCAATTCATTTGTTATGTTTTCTTTTTTTTTTGTCAAACCTTACCTCTTCGACGACGTCAGTCAATAAAAACACTTTATATCACTTTCATAATTTAAAAAATGGGTGCCATATTCGAGCATCACTGATCCAAAACCAAGTCCAAAAATCGCTGCGAAATTTCCAGATTTTTCCCACTTCTAGTTTCTTCGTCAGCGTATCCCACTGATTCTGGAAAGCGTTGCCCCGAGAAACCTTCGCCAAAAAACCGCGTAAACGCAAGGGTGTGCGTACGAATCGCATTCAACGAGTTCGTGCCATTCATTTATCCCAGGAATCATTTATCCCAGGCTTGGGAATGGGCCCTGTCGCAAATAGGAACCAGGTCGCCCACAAATAAGGAACAGCGTGTTAATTCACACACAGTTATTTAAATACTTATTGTTGGAGAAGTATGCAGTCAATGCTCAATTTTAGAGTATGGATATCTAATTATGAAACGTGGCCTCATATTTAAATCAAACGCGCAGTTCTCCAGTGACTCCAACGACTATAGTAAGATTTCCAAGGTAAAAAAAATTCCGTAACCCATCTACGAACTAGCGCTTTTACCCTATAATATTGATAGATAAGCATCAATAAATAAGCACCCCTAGCGCTGATGCTACAATGCAGCACCGTCGCCATTAGCTAAACGTCGAGGAACGTTGGTGTCACCTCTCTTGCAAAACGGTTCCGCACAGTAATACTGAGACGGTCCTATTCTTATCAGCCTCTTTTCCTTTCAATGGCAATAAAAGATAGGGCATTTTTATTGCGTTTCCTATCTTTCTTGTTTCCTCTTCCTTTTATTTCATTTTATGTCAGCAGTCATCATGGAAACCAATTTTTAAGTACTTCTCCAGTTGCTCATGCTGCTTCCACAGGAAGAAGCGGGGAAAAACTCATTGTTTCAAAATGTCCTCCAAACAGCCGAAATTAAGCACGAGTTGTAAAAGTTGTCCTGACAAATTTCCTCCAATCTTCTCCATGAAACTATCCTAGAGCCTGCTGCTCGCTAAGAACTGGCTTTTCGAGTAAAATTGGTTGTTTCACACATCCCCCAAACGGCGAAGAGAGTCAGTGCTCACCGTTCACATCCCAGATGTGGACATCTTACATCTCTTACATCTTACATCTCTTACATCTCTTGCATCTTACATCTCTTACATCTCTTACATCTTACATCTCTCTTACATCTTACATCTCTCTTACATCTTACATCTCTCTTACATCTTACATCTCTCTTACATATTACATCTCTCTTACATATTACATCTCTCTTACATCTTACATCTCTCGGACATCTTGCATCTTCGGCATGGCGACGGAGAGAAATCGAAGACGCGCTAGGCGGGATAGGCTAGCTTTGAAATTCGTGAACCTCATCAGCACTATCTCGGAGAACGGTCTTGATTGCCATTTTTTCAGCTAAAAAGTTCATGCTATCTCGTTTGTCAGATTAGCATGTATGTAAAGAGTGATTAGATTAAGTGGTAGCTTAGCACCACGACAGTACACCATATATCAACTACCGGTGTCGATTGAAAAACACCAACGAACCATACGTCATCGTACCTAATCCGACGCGACCGTCCAGTCGTTTCTGATCAGTGGATTTCTGCATTACGACCACGTCTCTCGGAAAACGGTCGGACGAGTTCCTCTACGAATTTGATGCCTTCCTCGCGCGTTTTTAGCCTGTTGGCGACGCGATCAATGCTACCTCTCTTTCCAAAGTCCTCCCCCCTCCTCTCATGAACGGGTAACCCAAACGCTATTCTAATATAATCCTCGCTTTGCTTATGGTCTCGTGTAACGTACCTCTACGAGGAAGGACAGAGGGGGGACCCGATCCATTTAATCGAGTTCCATTCTTGGTCCCAGACATACAATATATTTGGTGCTCGAGCGTTATGGAACTCCTTGTTCATATGCAGTACTTCGTCACCCAATGATAACTTACAGTTGCAAACTTTCAAAAACCTGTTCTCATCGTTGAACGATAAATGGCCATCAAAGCAAATGAGGCTATAGATGTTACGTTCTACTTTCGCAGATGCATTTTGCACTCATAGTGTTCAAAAGCATACGGGGGGGGGGGGGTAAGGGACTGTCCCCCCCCCCCCCTATGCTACCTTCAACCATAGATCAGGGCTCCTTATTCCAGCAGGGTCAATGAGACTCTTTCAACGGCTTCATTACGTCATTCCAGAGGGTGCTGAACGACGAAATGCATCTCGCGGGTTATTTCTTATTAACCCTATTCGGAGATATTGAATAGTTCCATAAGGGTGAATCTTTAACCTTACAACTTATGCATCCATAGAGTCGAATTGGCACGTCTAATTTCGAATTTCTGATATCCACTTCACATCGTGTTAGTCTAGTCAATTGACGAGACCGGGCTGACGTGGTGTGAAGCTCATGTTGAGCGATGGGGATCTAAAATTATTCCCTGGACTAGACTTATCTGATATGATTTTGTGTGCAGCACCATATAGGTAATTTAAATCTAAAAAAAAGAACCTGTTGTATAAACACAATGAGCATCAGGGAAGCCATCTGGCGGTTGCTCATGCAGGCAAGGTTCCCACATCCCAAGTGAGATGGCGCCTAAATCACTGTTATTACGATGATGATGATGTGGGTGAAGGGACTTCTCAAAGGGGGGTGCTTCCTGGGTAACACCTGAGATCACTTCAATAGATTTTCCCTTATGTAAAATCCCATTCCTTTACCCAACACTTCAAAATAGTAAGGTAAGTTGGGTGGAACTTAATTGACTTGTTAATGTAGTACTATAACAGTTTCGACTACTTTTTCTGGACATCTTCTACTGTGAGGTGCACAAAGATCCATTTTAGAAAGTAGTTGAAGAGTTCCCTGGAAAAGGGCGTAGCTTCCCAAATGCCTCTTTTTCCTACACATTCTCATGCGCTGCTTTAAGGCACTTCGTAGAAGATAGAGTGATCTTGATGTGGTTCAAATGTGTTTGCAGCAAGAGAGAACCAGTTTTCTCCATGCTCCTCCTAGATGGCCGGCAGATGTCCCGTTGTCTCGCCATGGCCAATTGTGGGGAGGAAAGGGGAAGGACTAGTCATACAAACTTATGTGGGGATCCCTGAAGGAAAAGGGAACCTGAGTGATGCTTATGTGAGGAAGACGGAAACTGCCATGAGGGCTTTACCGAATGCTCCTGTTTACATCTTTCTGGAGGAAGGATTTCTTTTATGTAACTCCTAGAGATTAAATCATACGTAAATGATTTTTCAAATGAAAAATTACTACTGAAAGAATGGCTGAAAATTTTCCGAGTCTGAATATGGAATTAGGTCGAATATACGTGAACAATTCTGTGCCTGAATTCTAGTAATAAAAAATTTCGTTCAAACCCAAGTAGGCCCATCACTGAAAACTGGATTCAGATTGGTAGCAGGTGAGCTCTGAGATTTTGCTGCTTTTCTCAAATAGTTTCTTTTGCACATAACCCCTTTTTTCGGAGAACTCCTCAACTGTTCTTTTTAAATATAAAATGTTAGGTTTTCTGCGTAAAAAAAAATACATGACTTACTAAAGAACTTGCGGGGAATTTACAGTAAATTATTTTCTCAATTTATAATATATACAGATGAAAACAATTTCGACAGTTGCACGCATACCGGTCAATACTGTAGCAAGGTGAAATGAAAACCATTTACTCTCAAAAGTCAGAGCCAGCAAATGCATTCATGTCAATACTAAACACTCTTGAGACCCACCCCCAGGTCTGACAGAGCGGATTGGATTTCTGATATTTTGTCGAGGAGATGCCCAATTATCTGAAAATATATTTTAAAATAAAGAAAATTGGTCAATTTTCATTAAACTTAAAATTTAGAATTTACATGTTAAAATATTAAAATATTAAAGATGTTTCAAGCAACTAAGTTAAAATATTTTCAAAGAATAATTTTTCATTAGAAAATTTATTAATGAAAATGTTGCTGATGTTCTGTTAGATCTGGTTCTTCACCACATGAAATACACCTACATAATTACTGAACTAGTGTTTCCTTTTGCCTTTCAACTACGCCCTCCATGAGAAATCTTTTTTTCACCAATTGCCAAAAAATTGGAAACGCAATTTTATTGAGTGAAAGTAATTGGCAATTGACATGATACCATGCAAGGTCCCAAAAATCTTCTATCTTTGATGATAGAAGATTTGCTCGATTCGTTCGCTCGATTTCATGGCATGACTCAAATGCAAACCGGAGATTAGATGCGTTCATAAGGCATGATGCAAAAATAGTGAGAATGCAATTGACAACTGCTGAATTTTCCTCGATAAAAATCCACGTATTTCCCAGGGGTCTCAGAAGGTTAAAAATGCGGCCGTTTATTTATTTCTCTGGGGAACAGACAGCAGTACAAGCCACACTAATGGAACTCTAAAATGGGGGATCTTGATAAAAACATAACTTTACTCCGACATTCCGTACACGTACAGCCTCTCATTTTTCGGCTAAACTCATGAGTTCCACGCAGACAAGCGTATTGCACCACGTGAGGAAATATTTCAGACCACTCTCGGTAAGAGAAACTCCATCCCGGGATTTCCATGAAAATATCACAGTTGTCACAGCAGAAACGCATAGTGAAATGACGTGTCGGGATCCACCAGCGGGCTGCCTCCATCCTCTCTAACATGACTCACGCGGAGGCGTCACAGACGGAAAGAGAGCTGAATGGAGTGGCGACTCCTGTTCCAGTCCCAAACAGCCGAGCGTGGAAAAGGGGAAACCGCGCTGCACCGACTCCGCCGATCCAATTACTCGCTTCCAGTTACCGAGAAAGAGAGGGAGAAACGAGACGCCAGGGTCTGGAACTCATCAGACTCCTACGCCCTCCTACTTCGCCGTAAGGAATCACGAACTCCCTAGGTACTGAAGCACCGTCCGTGCCTTGCTTTGCACTGACCGACTGGGACATTGATGAACGGAGAGAAAAAAAAGAGATCGCAAGCTTATGATCACAGCGACTCAAATCGTGCACCCTTTTTTCTGGCCGTAGATGGAGGCAAGCCTTGACTTCAAGAAAGTGGCAATGTAATGGTTTTGCTGGGCCACCAGACTTTCCCTCCACTTGTCCCGGGTGTACATTTTGATTCCTGGCTTATGCACGAGAAAGGCATTGTCCAAAATGTGGAATTGGTATCCCAGCACGCACAATCCATACATCTGGAAAGAGAGAACACAAGACAGTTTGAATCAACACCAATGGGTCTGTCTTCAACGTATAGAATATGCAGAAAAGGCAAACTCGGGTGAGTCGGCAACAAACGTATCGTCCTGCGACGATTTCTCAACCATCGGAAATCTGGATTGATACTTCCAGACGTTCAGGGTGAACTAGATTTTTCTTTATACATATTTTACTTGAATATTGAACATTTGCAGGTGAAGAAAGTCTCAAATACCATAACATGTAAATGCTATTTTGCGCTCATGGTGAATATCCCGATGATATTTTGACTTCGCATCATCTTACAAACCCATAGGAATAGCGTATTGGCAGGCAACACGTGATCGCCATGCGAATCGAGAACTCGTCCCGCACATCACGAATCGTCCGCGAAGTGCCCTGACGCTCAAGTAGAGGGCTGATTGCAGCCAAAGCTAATGAATCCCAAGGAGACAATGCCCCAAAGGCAGAGCAAAAAACTTTCGTTTCCCTTCTGACGAGGTCCCACTCCGATCTTGCCGGCCATGAACCACAATTGGTGCTATGCTTCAAGATCTCCGAAAAAAAAGGTACGGGGATAAAAGTGAAGCCGAAAAGGAGAAACTTTCCAAAGATAAAACTTTCCGATAAATAAATAAATAAACCATGGAAGACATCTTCCCAGCCGAAATGAGCACATGAAAAATTCACCTTGGTCGATAATCCCTCGAAAGAGGCTGCCATCAAAATTTCATGCTGCTAAGGAGGAGTTTCCTCTCTCCGCTTCCTCAAATATCATTCGGCATGAAAAATTGTATGATAAAAAAGGGGGGAAAATTTAGCAAGCGAGAATGCCGCCTTCTTTCTCTCGTCTCTCTCAGTCCCAAGCTTTTCCCTCATTCTACGAACACCTTTGGAATTCCTTGACTGTGGAGAAGTGAATGTAAGTATTCGTTGAATCATTGAGTCTTCGTGCTGAGTCTCTCAGGACTACCCACTGATAAAACTGGCCAGTGAAAATAAAAGTATACTCCAAATATGAGTAAAATGTAAAATTCGATGTGGACTAACGGACTTTCGTAGCGTTCATTTTAATCCTGCGTTCAAAATTTAGACATATCCCTTGCATCACAGGCTGACATTTGAACAATGCAGAAGGACCAAACAACAAAAAATAGTAAGAGTCAACGTCACCAGCGTCAGAAATAACTCCTAACACCAAGGCTTTGGAACTATCTTCAGACTAACCTGAGTCATTTTGTCTTTCTTCCCCTCCCAAGTGAGAGTCTCATCGTAAGGGGGATCGAAGCGGGTCCCGATGAAGATCGGTTCCCAGGACTTGAAGTTGCCTTCTCGCTGGGCCACATGGAACACGTTCAGCTGCTCTGGGTCGGGTGACGCCTTGTTCGTCCATTCTTGGGCTTTGGGCACGCGATGGCACTGGGGACACATGGCCTTGTGGAACGGGATGGCTACGTTCCTTCCAAGCATTTCCACCAGTTCGCTCTTCCGTCTCGGCGGTTCCGTTCCCTCCTTCACTTCGAATATGGATACCACGAACACCTTAGGAGGTTCTGGATCTAGCAGCGTCGGGGAACGCCGAACCATATCGATGAACATGGGAGCCAGGTTGTCGCTCGGATAGAGCTCGATGTCCGTGGGAAACACATAATGAGTGGTGGCGCTTTCTTTGGCAACATTCCTCAGTATGTTGATGGGATACAGGATCTGCTTTGCGGTTCCTTTCGTAGTTTGCCGATAAGAAGGATCAGTTGTGTTCCATGGAGGCGGTGAAGAACAGTTCACCTGAATCGGAGTGAAAGGTTTCGATTAACTCTCCTTGAAATCCTTAGTTCTTTTCTTCGTTACATTCCTTCAGAACGATACAATCGATATCTTTTCACGAGGATTGGTTCGCCACGAGGTCGTCTCGGATATTCCATGTCCACTTAATTGGATAATATGGATAATAACCCAAAATGCCAAACAAAACGTTTTTTTCTCAGACAAGTCACGATTTCATTCTATTATTCCCAGGTATTTCAGCTTTCAGGAACTTTTGCAACTGCTAGGAAAATCATAAATTAACCAGATCCTGTACATGTTTGCCTAGCGCCGGTCTTAATTGCGCCTACGAGGTATGATCACCTCAAACCCTATTCTCACTTTTGCCGAAGGCAGACCAATCTGTTGACGGGCTGCTAATATTGCTGACCTGCAACTCAAATTAAATCTAAGCCTACATCGTGTATTTGCAGGTCTACTGCCCACATCTTTATTTTAAATCCGGTTTTCATGTTAGAATGGTTTAATTGGCATGAAAGCAGCCTGGAAAGAGCAGGAAGAGACGCAACCCTCCAGGAGCTTGCTCCTTTCCTAACCTAGACATGTCTGTACAGGCATTTAATAAAAATGCGTAACAAATCACCAGCAGCCATGCAATAAACTTGTTAGGTCAACCGTGACACACGGGAGAATTTCCTCTATGCGAGGACGACTGCAGGCCAACACTTAATCGGCACGCCTAGGTTAAAAATTCGCCTGACCTGTGGGCAGCGATAGATTACGAAGATTAGATTACGAAGCCTCGAGACACTTTTGAGAAGATGGAAATCGGCTGGCCCCGATCTGAATCATTACGAGCGATGCGACTCCATGATGAGGCCTCCCTCTTCTTTATACACCTCTTATTCGCAACGTATTACAGGAAATACATGAGAACATTTTGATTCGTTTCACTCCAGCACGAAAACCAAGCAAATCGTATTTCAAGACTCCTCTCCATCTCGTGATCCTACAGCTTTAGAGGTTAATCCTCATCTCACAACAGTAGGGCTTAAACTTAGAAAAGGTACCTGGAAAAAACTGTCCACGTCTTCGACGGGTGGGACGATGCTGGGAGTGTGATCGAGTGGAAAGACGAAATGGAAAGTGACAAGACGTCGAATCAACTCCGACTGACATTTCTTCATGTAAAGTGCACTATGAAGGGATGTGTTGAAGTCCTCTCCTGGGGAATACACTGCCAGAGACACTGGAGCCCGCCATCGTTCTACAAGCGGCTCTAGATTCTCTAGGTATTCGTATTCGCTGTGGGTGGTGTACGTCACTGTCTCTCCACACGCGAAGGCGTTCTCCGACAAGAGGTAATTATATAAGACGACGTGATCCTTGCGTCTTCCCTGATGAGGCCGGGCGTCCACGTCTTTGCAACTGATGCTTCCAGTCACTTCAGCAAGGACTGAGGTCGTTTCGATGGGAGGAGATTCCGACTGAACAACTCTGTCCTCCTCCATCGGAGGCGTGTGAAGCGTATGAACGGTCGAAAGGAACAGCAGGTGACGGTTCGGTGTGAAGCTGAACAAGGCATTGTCCAAGAACCCGAAATTGGTGGCTGCGAGCACGATGCAGGCGGAGACAGCCACCCATAGGAAGAAGAGGAGCTTTCTTCGCTTGGACATAGCCCTGTAGGTCCGCGGAGTATCACCTCCTTCTCTTCCTGCAACACGGAAATCGTGAATGCGTACAGACAAGCTGAAAGGAGTAGGATCTTCATTCTGGGTTCTGGGTGAAGAGGCCCGAACATAGTAAGCATATTGTGATCTTTTTTGTTCAAGTTCGGAAAGTTCAAACCCTACTCGACAGCGATTCGTTACGCAATGTGTCCCCCGTGAACAGATCCTCGATCGATCTGGTTCGAACATGTTCGAAATCGAGAAATAGGTGTATAAAAACCCGCGACCGGTGCTTTCGTCGCGGCCTATATGATCGCAGACAGTTCGATGCGGACAAAACGTCCAAGCCCGTTTCGTCGTCGCACGATTTCATCGCAGATATGAATCGTCACGCATACACAGTGAGGCGCTAGCTTGCAGGCAAAGGTAAAAACAAAGTGAAAAAATTTGCAGAAAACCACGGGGTACTGGAATTCCTGATTCTTATCAATTGGAAAGGAGAAAGAAAGGAGGGAATATTTCTCTGTCGTTTTCGGCTTTTTTTTTACCTGCTTACCTTATTTACCATTTTGAGTTTTCATGAGTAAGACACTGGAATGGGTCAAATTATCTACAGCAGTGGTCTTCAATATTTTCTTTTAACTTGCGAACCAATTTCGGAATATAGGGGAACTCTTCACTATCGTGCAAATTTGTAAGCTTATAAAATAAGCGCTATTAATTTTGAAGAAAGTTGGCTGAAGGGAAATTCCTTTCTGAATTTCAATTTCCATTTTGTCTGTCATTCATTTTTGGCCGGGACATGGTTTTCGTACCACCTGAACCCTCGATACGGACCCCTACGGGTCCGAGAAACCCCCGGTTGAGAAACGCTGATCTACGGGGATGGAAAATGCAACGGGGAAGGGCAACTTTTTGATGTGACACAGTGACTACGAGATAGTGTACCTATGTTCGCTACCGAGCCATCAAGGTAAAGGGCCGTTCACAAATTACATAACGTGATTTTTGACATTTTTGACCCCCCCTGTAACACTCCGTAACAAAAGCTTCGACCCCCCTCCTCTCATGAACGGGTAACCCAAACGCTATTCTAATATAATCCTCGCTTTGCTTATGGTCTCGTGTAACGTACCTCTACGAGGAAGGACAGAGGGGGGACCCGATCCATTTAATCGAGTTAATTTTTGCCCCCCCCTGTAACACCCCGAAAAAAAACCTTCGCCCCCCCCCCCCCCCCCAAAAAAAAAAAAGTAATAATAATAATAATATATATAAATATAAATAATAATAAATAATAATAAATAATAATAATTATGTGACAAAATATGACTCCCCCCTCCTTCATAATTGTTTATAATAAGATAATTAAGAAAAAAAAAACAAATAAAATGCATTTGAAAAGAAACTCGTTATTAAACACTTTTAACTAACACTCTGGATTACACACATTCAGAGATGATTAAAATGTTTTTATAAAGGCAAGGAAAAGTTTTTTTTTTTATTTGGTTCCTTCTGCAGGGAAATAATTTTCCTTTGCCTATGTTCATTTTGATTGATGGTGATCGCCTATTTGAGATCTAAAAAAAAAAAAACAAAAGAGTAAAAGGGGATGGGGAAAGGTAGGATAGAATGGTGGAAACAGAGTGTTCGCGATACCGAGAGAGAGAGAGACGAACGAGGGCAACGCCCAAAGGGTACCCGAGCCTGTCTGGCCTGTTTGTGCAGGTCCCAGGCATGAAACTGCGACTTAGCGAGTTTTGCAACAGGGGAGAGGGAAGTCAACAGACGTTCCCAAGCTCCCAATGCCCATTCCAACTTCAGTAAGGGTGATGGATGCGGATGAGTAGTAGTGTTGGCTCTTTGTATCGTGTGAGTGATTTGTTACTAAACAATTACCCTTTTAATAAGAAATTCCAGTCGCATGATTTATTTATTTATAATGAAAAAAACCTGCTAAGTCACATTCGTGCCACCTCCCCCTCCCCCCGTAACAAATCGTAACACTTTATCTGATTCCTCCCCTCCCCCCCCCCCTTGCGTTACGTAATTTGTGAACAGCCCCTAATATGGAGTGGCATGCACAAACGAGCGGCTCAATGTCGATTCATGACTTCTTTACTAATTCACGAGCTGCAATTGACGACAGGTGCATTTCAGAACCCTCATCTCGAGTCGTCATCATACGATATCGTCCCGCCCCGAAATGCCCTCGTTGGAGCCCACGAGGGAAGTGCGGTGTCGGCGGCGAAACTGTACTTCGACCGAAGATGCGACTTTATGCCCGCAACGAACCGTCCACGACCACTTTGGCCGCGACGAAAGAGCCGTAACCCATTAAACTTATTCGCACTATTTCACAGAGAGAGAGAAAAAAAAACTTTTAGGGGTCTTCTTATGATTTTTTTTTTTACAGCGGTAAACTTATGCAATTCGAACATAAACTTGATGATTACTCCGGGCAAACATCCAAAATCGGTAGCTAAAAGGGCTGCAGAACTGAAATTGGGAATTTGTTCTGGGAGTTGAATCTCGACATGTTAGCAAACTCGCATTTCTTCCTTTCATATTTAATTAGACACGAATAATTAAATCGCTAACGGTACTTTTCATCAAGCCGTCATTAGAGCTCTTCCAATGTCGTGCAACTTCGGTGCGAAAATCTATAAGACTGCTCTGAAATTGCCACTCTGCAATTCTCAAAATGGGATTGCTGTTTTCTAATCGTACTTATCAAAGAACTTTTCAACTCTCTGAAAATAATCCCTAGCCGTTCGACTCTTTCAGGCTCTAGCCCCACCGCAAACGAGGGACTCCGTTCTTCGAAGACGAGCCCCTCAGAACCGGAAGCCGCTCGAAGCGCCGCCGTCCTCGAATCGAAAAGGAGCGACTTCGGAATGACCGCTCGCCCTCTGGGAGTCCCGGGGACGGCAGAGACTTCGCAGCAATTCCTGCAGATTCTCTTCGTTTCAGGCGGAAACCGCCAGTTGTTATGACTTATCGTCGTGTCAGGTTTTCGGGAAGAACTTCACCGAAGAACACGTGCACCTCCAGCGCGGCGAGTCGAGTGGAGTGAAAACTTTGAAACATAGAGCACAGTGATCGAGGCGGCTAACCCTTTCCGAACCGGTTTGTATCATTTTCCGAGCTCGTCGAGTTTGACGAGTTCTCAAGGACCAGTTATACCCTTGGATCCGATGGTCGGACGAAATCGATGACGAAATCTCGCATCATCATAACTGACTATCCAACCGACCGAAGGTCGCTAACACATTCCTCGAGCGCTCACGGAAAAACGCAAGAGAAGAGAACCACCGCAAAACACCGCAAAAACAAAGTTTCCAAAATAGCCTGGCGCGAGGGATCCGCGTAGGAGCGAGGAAGGGCGGACCGTGCCGATCCCTTCCATGTGCCGATCCCGCATCCACGAGCCCACGTGTTCGGCGGAGGACAGAGATACCGGATGGATGAGACGAGGCCAAGGCTCAAGGAGAGCCATAACCCGTCTTTCCGATCCCACTCGAGAAAAGTGGGTTGATCACACCCGTACACCGAGAGAGGAGCGGTCCAGAACGCGGGAGAATCACCATCGTTTCAAGGTTATCGTGCTCTACCGTCTTACGACACGCCGTTCCAGGAAGTCGTGGCAGGTCCCGGGAATGTACGTTCCAAAAAAAAAGGTCCTCTTTGATCGGTACTAGAGTCCGTTCCACGATGGATCTACTCGGGGAAATCCTCATCGGGTGTCAGATTGCTATCAGCCTCGTGGAGACTGAACCCGATCGCTACCCGACATCGAGCAAACATCCGATGAAAGGATTCTCGATCGAACGAAGTAAGGCAAAGGAATGGAATAAACACGAGGCCCTCCTCAATTTTTTTTCCTCTACCTTTTAAAGGACTTCACGCGGATCTCGACTCGTAACAGTCGCCCGCACGCAACACGCACGCGGAACCGGCCGACCCGAACGGACGGATCCCCCGCATCCGACGCAAGGGCGAGTGCCCCTCGCCCCTCCCTCTCCCCCTCGCCGACTGCCTTCCTTCGGCATCCAGACGCGGCATGCACAATGCAAGCACGGGAATCGAGCAGGTCGAGATCCGTCCGCGAGTCTCGACTCGAGACGACGCCTTCACTGTCACGCTTCCAAAATGTAACTCGGTAACGTCACAGCGACAAATGGAGTCTCTTTTCGAACCCGGGAAATGAAAGAGCTGAATCTGAATCCTTGCCAAAAACGTGACGATCCCCCAAAGTACCGTCCCGTGAAAGCGAGAGCCGTTACCCAACCGTCTGGTCCCGTCCCCCCCCCCCCCCCCGGTCCCTCCCGCCTCTTTCACCTGTGTTGGGATCGTCACTGTTATGCGGGGCGCACTCTTTCCTTTCTTCTTTCTTCACGTTCAGCAATAGTTAATTATTTATTCGCTGATGAATTGGAATGAAAAAAAAAAGATGTACTGCAGGTTGTGCGCCCTTTCAAAGTTTTGCAAGTCCCCGCATTTGTCTGCTTGCTGGGCTGCAGTTTTTACTGCCTATAGAGCTAGTGAAAACCAGCAACAGAATGCAACAAAAAAAATCGCATTGCATGGCCATAAACTTGCAAATAGGCAAAATAGAGCTCATGATTGCAAAAAAAGAAAAGAACTCCGCTTGCTGCAAGGGAAACGTGACTCGTCACGACTCCGTTCCCTCTTCGCAGAAAAAAAAAAACATGGTTACAGTAACAACTTAAATGTAACTCGTTGCGCAAAAATAAATAACTGAGAAATGCTAGATTAAAGTAAACCGTATTCAGATACTGGCCATCACGGGTCACTAACGGTGGACTTGCATGGGATGGATCCGTTGCAACCACGGCTCATCGACGGTCCGAGCAAGGGATGTCACAGCGTCCGCACACCGATGCGGGTCGAATCCGAATGTTTCTTCTCCGCCTTATTTTCCTCTCGAACGGCGCGGGCTCTCCGTCTGCGTGCCCCGCCCCCCTCCTCCCCGTCCCCCGCCCCCCTCCCCCCCGTCCCCCGCCCCCGTTCGGGGTTGCGGGCGGTCCGAGCCGTCAGGGCTTCCCGCGGTATGACCCTCGGTGCATGGGC